TAGTCTATAGTCTAGTCTATAGTCTAGTCTATAGTCTAGTCTATAGTCTAGTCTATAGTCTAGTCTATAGTCTAGTCTATAGTCTAGTCTATAGTCTAGTCTATAGTCTAGTCTATAGTCTAGTCTATAGTCTAGTCTATAGTCTAGTCTATAGTCTAGTCTATAGTCTAGTCTATAGTCTAGTCTATAGTCTAGTCTATAGTCTAGTCTATAGTCTAGTCTATAGTCTAGTCTATAGTCTAGTCTATAGTCTAGTCTATAGTCTAGTCTATAGTCTAGTCTATAGTGTAGTCTATAGTCTAGTCTATAGTCTAGTCTATAGTCTAGTCTATAGTCTAGTCTATAGTCTAGTCTATAGTCTAGTCTATAGTCTAGTCTATAGTCTAGTCTATAGTCTAGTCTATAGTCTAGTCTATAGTCTAGTCTATAGTCTAGTCTATAGTCTAGTCTATAGTCTAGTCTATAGTCTAGTCTATAGTCTAGTCTATAGTCTAGTCTATAGTCTAGTCTATAGTCTAGTCTATAGTCTAGTCTATAGTCTAGTCTATAGTCTAGTCTATAGTCTAGTCTATAGTCTAGTCTAGACTATAGTCTAGTCTATAGTCTAGTCTATAGTCTAGTCTATAGTCTAGTCTAGACTATAGTCTAGTCTATAGTCTAGTCTATAGTCTAGTCTATAGTCTAGTCTTTAATCTAGTCTATAGTCTGGTCTAGACTATAGTCTAGTCTATAGTCTAGTCTATAGTCTAGTCTATAGTCTAGTCTATAGTCTAGTCTATAGTCTAGTCTATAGTCTAGTCTATAGTCTAGTCTATAGTCTAGTCTATAGTCTAGTCTATAGTCTAGTCTATAGTCTAGTCTATAGTCTAGTCTATAGTCTAGTCTATAGTCTAGTCTATAGTCTAGTCTATAGTCTAGTCTATAGTCTAGTCTATAGTCTAGTCTATAGTCTAGTATAGTCTAGTCTATAGTCTAGTCTATAGTCTAGTCTATAGTCTAGTCTATAGTCTAGTCTATAGTCTAGTCTATAGTCTAGTCATAGTCTAGTCTATAGTCTAGTCTATAGTCTAGTCTATAGTCTAGTCTATAGTCTAGTCTATAGTCTAGTCTATAGTCTAGTCTATAGTCTAGTCTATAGTCTAGTCTATAGTCTAGTCTATAGTCTAGTCTAGTCTAGTCTATAGTCTAGTCTATAGTCTAGTCTATAGTCTAGTCTATAGTGTAGTCTATAGTCTAGTCTATAGTCTAGTCTATAGTCTAGTCTATAGTGTAGTCTATAGTCTAGTCTATAGTCTAGTCTATAGTCTAGTCTATAGTCTAGTCTATAGTCTAGTCTATAGTCTAGTCTATAGTCTAGTCTATAGTCTAGTCTATAGTCTAGTCTATAGTCTAGTCTATAGTCTAGTCTATAGTCTAGTCTATAGTCTAGTCTATAGTCTAGTCTATAGTCTAGTCTATAGTCTAGTCTATAGTCTAGTCTATAGTCTAGTCTATAGTCTAGTCTATAGTCTAGTCTATAGTCTAGTCTATAGTCTAGTCTATAGTCTAGTCTATAGTCTAGTCTATAGTCTAGTCTATAGTCTAGTCTATAGTCTAGTCTAGACTATAGTCTAGTCTATAGTCTAGTCTATAGTCTAGTCTATAGTCTAGTCTAGACTATAGTCTAGTCTATAGTCTAGTCTATAGTCTAGTCTATAGTCTAGTCTTTAATCTAGTCTATAGTCTGGTCTAGACTATAGTCTAGTCTATAGTCTAGTCTATAGTCTAGTCTATAGTCTAGTCTATAGTCTAGTCTATAGTCTAGTCTATAGTCTAGTCTATAGTCTAGTCTATAGTCTAGTCTATAGTCTAGTCTATAGTCTAGTCTATAGTCTAGTCTGTAGTCTAGTCTATAGTCTAGTCTATAGTCTAGTCTATAGTCTAGTCTATAGTCTAGTCTATAGTCTAGTCTAGTCTAGTCTAGTCTAGTCTATAGTCTAGTCTATAGTCTGGTCTAGACTATAGTCTAGTCTATAGTCTGGTCTAGACTATAGTCTAGTCTATAGTCTAGTCTATAGTCTAGTCTATAGCCTAGTCTATAGTCTAGTCTATAGTCTAGTCTAGAGTCTAGTCCATAGTCTATAGTCCAGTCTATAGTCTAGTCTTTAGTCTAGTCTTTAGTCTAGTCTTTAGTCTAGTTCATAATCTAGTCTATAATTTAGTCCATAGTCTAGTCCATAGTCTAGTCCATAGTCTAGTCTATAGTATACACTATATTCAGTCGAGTTTAATTACAAAGATAATTCATATTCACTGGATTATCCATCCCTGTGCAATAGTACACTACATTTTTTGAAGTTTAAGGTAGAGGAGTCTAGTCTACCGACATCCAGACAAGTAAATACACGAGAGTACTCAAGTCCGTCCATACTATATGTATGTTTGTTTGTTTGTATGTATATATTTGTGTGCAGCTTGTTTGAAAATAAAATTTTTAATTAGCTTTTCTTGTTTATAATTTGTTGTTGCATAGTATATTATAACTACTATTTGTATTTTGTTATAGTTTTTTTTATGATTGTTTTAAATCATCATCATAATTTTTTTTTATATACAACAAGTGTGATGATACGTTGACTTATTTGTTGTTAATACATGCTGATGATGATACATTAAAGTTGAAGTTCATTTTAGACAACATGTTGCATTTGATTTTTATTGTTTGTTTATATGTTGTGCTACTTGTTTCAGGTTGTAATAACTCTACACGATCGTGTTGAAGGGTATTCATATATAATTGCTAATTATTACATTGTTTTTTTGTTTTCTGTAGTATTTTGTTAATTTTATTACAATCTTGGCAAATGTTTTGTGTTTTTTTATGTTTGTCGTTACACTGTATTAGGTAACCGATTATATAAATTTGTGTGTTTTTTTGTCATACTAAATTATTAGATCATGTCTATTAGTTAATAATGTGTTTTTGCAATAGTTGATGAAGTTTCCTCTAAATATTTTTTGTTAATTGAAATAATATTTTTCGTAACTCTATTTCCTTTTAGTTTCTTTGTTCTTTAGTTTTATTTAAAAATAAACTCAACAAGTAGACATTTTTTGTATGTAATCGATTTTTAATTAGTAGCATGACTTTACAAAATGCAAACTTTCATTCATATATTTTCAAGTGATTTGATTTATTTTAAAGAGTTTTTTTCAGCTGTCTAAAGTTTAAAACCCTTGATAAGATAAGAACAAATTCATTATTACAAGCAAAGTGTGCCATGTCGATTTGATTGAATGTCCAAACGGCAGCTATCATTATCTGAAGGAAATTGATAAAAACTCACTTAGACTAAATATGTTAATACTAAATTAAACTAGACTAAGTCATAACCTTGTTTGGCCTATAGGACAAAAGAACTATAGATCAAATAGAACTGAACTAGAACTGAACTAGAACTGAACTAGAACTGAACTAGAACTGAACTAGAACTGAACTAGAACTGAACTAGAACTGAACTAGAACTGAACTAGAACTGAACTAGAACTGAACTAGAACTGAACTAGAACTGAACTAGAACTGAACTAGAACTGAACTAGAACTGAACTAGAACTGAACTAGAACTGAACTAGAACTGAACTAGAACTGAACTAGAACTGAACTAGAACAGAACTAGAACAGAACTAGAACTGAACTAGAACTGAACTAGAACTGAACTAGTACTGAACTAGAACTGAACTAGAACTGAACTAGAACTGAACTAGAACTGAACTAGAACTGAACTGAACTGAACTGAACTAGAACTGAACTAGACCTGAACTGAACTGAACTAGAACTGAACTAGAACTGAACTAGAACTGAACTAGAACTGAACTAGAACTGAACTAGAACTGAACTAGAACTGAACTAGAACTGAACTAGAACTGAACTGAACTAGAACTGAACTAGAACTAGAACTGAACTAGATCTGAACTAGAACTTAACTAGAACAGAAGTAGAACCATTTCAGTAATCTTATTTTCTAATGCAAACTGTTGAATTTTTTTTTTTTTTCAAATTTTTAAAAACATTAACCCAAGTCCTTTAATAATAAATTGCAACACAAATGTTTGCTTTTCTCAAATCTTTTTATTCAAATACCACTTCCAAAACAACATTTAGAAACAATCATTAATGCTGGGTAAGCTACCGCTGCAATATTTCCAAGTTGACCAGGCAGTCCAGCCCTGTTGAGACTTGATCTTGCGGGCACACTTAACCGAGTTGCTGATGTTATCGGTCAACAGATCGTTACAGCTCAATTTGCATTCGTTGTAAGAGAAACGTCCATTGGCAGGTTGACACCAGTAGTAGTTGTTAATTTGGAAAATACCATAATCGTTAGAGCCATTTGAGTTGGTGGGACCAACAACATTGGTGCGGTAAGACGACTCGTGTTCAGCAATGCAAGTCCATTGAGGCAATTCGGATTTTGGTACACCCAAGGCATACATTTCCTTAGCCAAGGAGCAGCGGGTGAATGTCTTGCCAAAGGCAGGAGTAAACAAAGCCAAGGCGGCCAATAAAACAATGAAGAATTTCATGGTGGTGGTTTAGAATTAGTTCAAAAGTAAACTGTTTTTGAAAACAATAATAGTTGGCCAATTTATAGTAAAATTTTCAATGGAAAATAAATAAATATGTAGATAATATTAAAAAGTATTATAAAATTAGTCAGTGCTTTCCAGAAACAGCTGTTTACTGATCATTTTATATAGATAAATATTAACATAATGAATGATATTCAAGTTAAATTATCTCAAGTGTTATTCAACAGTAATTATCTACCAAACAAATTATTAGGCCCGCATATTATATATGTTTATATATAAATCTAAAGAACACTCGAACTTTGTTGTTTAAAGCTAAACAGCTTTTTCATTATGAGTCTTATCCTTATCGTGATATTTCGGTAAACATTGAAAACAGGGGGTTTTGCTGGGGCCATTATCTTGGTAGTATATATACTGGCAAAATTTATGATTTTAAACATAGTTTCTTTCTAACTGTTCCGGAAAGCAATCATGAAATTCTTCATCGTTTTATTGGCCGCTTTGGCTTTGTTTACTCCTGCCTTTGGCAAGACATTCACCCGCTGCTCCTTGGCTAAGGAAATGTATGCCTTGGGTGTACCAAAATCCGAATTGCCTCAATGGACTTGCATTGCTGAACACGAGTCGTCTTACCGCACCAATGTTGTTGGTCCCACCAACTCGAATGGCTCCAACGATTATGGCATTTTCCAAATTAACAACTACTACTGGTGTCAACCTGCCAATGGTCGTTTCTCCTACAATGAATGCAAATTAAGCTGTAACGATTTGTTGACCGATAACATTAGCAACTCGGTTAAGTGTGCCCGCAAAATCAAGTCCCAACAGGGCTGGACTGCCTGGTCTACTTGGAAATACTGCAGCGGTAGCTTGCCCAGCATTAATGATTGTTTCTAAATGGGTTTTTTTCTGATGATGTTTAAACGATAATAAATAAATTTGAAAAGTATTAGCAAATTTGTACGGTTTCTTATTTGCCTAGTATATATTATAGATATCATATATCAGATTTCTTTAAAATAGATCAAATTTAGTCTAGAATATAGATATAACTATATTCGAGACCTAATGTCCATTTGTAGAATGTAGATCTAACGATTTAGTCTAGACTGTAGGATATCGATCAAACTATAGATTGACAATAGGTCAATATATTGTCTAGAGGTATAGTTACAACTATCGGCTATACATCAATCTATAGTCTAGACTATAGATCAAACTATAGACATATATAGTATATAGTTTGTTCTATAGTCAAGACCTTAGCTTGATCTAAAGTCTAAAGTCTATAATTGGATCTATATTTTGGACGATAGTTGGATATATAGCCTAGACTATATATTGATATATTGTCGATGTATAATAGAGTCTATAGTTTGATCTACAGTCTAGACTATAGATTGATCTATAGTTGTTAGTTGTTTCTATACCCTAGACAATATATTGATATATATCCAATTATAGATTTTAGACTGTAGATCGAACTATAGTCCTGACTGTAAAACAAACTATAGTCTATAGATCAAATTATAGATAGCAAAAAGCTTTAATTATAGAACAAAATGTCTACCGTTTGCTATTAAATATGGCTGCTTCTATAAATCAAAGTTTAAGAACTTTTCAAGTACCTAGAAGTTTTCTTTAGCCTCCTCATACTTGAAATACCATCAATTTTAAAACAATAGTACTTCAAACTCAAGTACTATTTTTTGCTATTTTAAAAAAAGTTTTTGACAACATTTACGTCATACATAAACTTGTTTTTTAGTTTTATTTATAAACTTTTTTTTAAGTATTTTTTATTTTTCATAATTTTTGCCATTTAGACGTTAATCTGGTATGTTCATGCAGCCAAGTAATTAACACAATGTTAAACATTATGAACTTTAATTGTTCACCAGCATAGAAATCTGCAAACTGAACTTAAAATTCATTGTATAAAACAAAGAAATTTTTTTTTTAACTTTTACGCATTTGTTTGAAGAAATAGTTTTTTCAAACTTTTTTCTTCAAATTGTGGGAATTTTTTTCGTTTTAAACAATTTTCCCTGAAACAATAGCCAAATCATTAACAAATACTTAAGAGAAGCGAGTAAAATTTGAAAATAAACACTTAAACACGCAATTTTAAGCTTGATTGTAAAGAAATGAGTAGCAGTTACACTAATTATTCAGTTTTTCAGTCTTATGGGGTTTGAAAACAAAACAAAAAACTAAACAAAAAGAAAAGCCAAATTCAATTTAGGCATTGAACTTAAATTATTGCATAAAGTATTACATTTAGTGGTTAGTAAAATTAATTAAAATATTTTTTCTCTAAAGTATTACGTCAAATTTTAAAAATTTTTTACAAAGGTGCGTTCACATTATGTTAAATAATAAGTTTAATGCGAACACAGTCAAAGGAATATGAAATGTTTAAATATATTGAAACTATATAAAGAAGTAAAATTCGCTTAAGAATTACTTTCTGAAGGCAATAACAACATACCATTAGTAGAGCTTTTACTGTTTCTTTACTATCAAAATTGAAATGTCTGAATACACTTCTTCAAAAATTACTGAAGTGGTTGAAATGAAAACAAAACTATTTTTAACTTTTTAATATTTTTTGCAATGTTTTGATTTATTTTAACCATTAGATAAGCAATAAATAATATAAACAATCAGGCCATTCGGATAATCGTCTGACTGAAAATGAAATTGTTTAATAAACACACGTTTCTCATATTTGTTTAATAAATTCCAGGGTAAGAGATTAACAAATCACTTCTACTGCAGTTCTATTTCAATTCTAGTTCAGTTCTAGTTCTATTTCAGTTCTAGTTCAGTTCTATCAGTTCTAGTTCAGTTCTAGTTCAGTTCTAGTTCAGTTCTAGTTCAGTTCTAGTTCAGTTCTAGTTCAGTTCTAGTTCAGTTCTAGTTCAGTTCTAGTTCAGTTCTAGTTCAGTTCTAGTTCAGTTCTAGTTCAGTTCTAGTTCAGTTCTAGTTCAGTTCTAGTTCAGTTCTAGTTCAGTTCTAGTTCAGTTCTAGTTCAGTTCTAGTTCAGTTCTAGTTCAGTTCTAGTTCAGTTCTAGTTCAGTTCTAGTTCAGTTCTAGTTCAGTTCTAGTTCAGTTCTAGTTAGTTCTAGTTCAGTTCTAGTTCAGTTCTAGTTCAGTTCTAGTTCAGTTCTAGTTCAGTTCTAGTTCAGTTCTAGTTCAGTTCTAGTTCAGTTCTAGTTCAGTTCTAGTTCAGTTCTAGTTCAGTTCTAGTTCAGTTCTAGTTCAGTTCTAGTTCAGTTCTAGTTCAGTTCTAGTTCAGTTCTAGTTCAGTTCTAGTTCAGTTCTAGTTCAGTTCTAGTTCAGTTCTAGTTCAGTTCTAGTTCAGTTCTAGTTCAGTTCTAGTTCAGTTCTGGTTCAGTTCTAGTTCAGTTCTAGTTCAGTTCTAGTTCAGTTCTAGTTCAGTTCTAGTTCAGTTCTAGTTCAGTTCTAGTTCAGTTCTAGTTCCATTCTAGTTCAGTTCTAGTTCCATTCTAGTTCAGTTCTAGTTCAGTTCTAGTTCAGTTCAAGTTCAGTTCTAGTTCAGTTCTAGTTCAGTTCTAGTTCAGTTCTAGTTCAGTTCTTGTTCAGTTCTTGTTCAGTTCTTGTTCAGTTCTAGTTCAGTTCTAGTTCAGTTCTAGTTCAGTTCTAGTTCAGTTCTAGTTCAGTTCTAGTTCAGTTCTAGTTCAGTTCTAGTTCAGTTTAGTTCAGTTCTAGTTCAGTTCTAGTTCAGTTCTAGTTCAGTTCTAGTTCAGTTCTAGTTCAGTTCTAGTTCAGTTCTAGTTCAGTTCTAGTTCAGTTCTGTCAGTTCTAGTTCTAGTTCAGTTCTAGTTCAGTTCTAGTTCAGTTCTAGTTCAGTTCTAGTTCAGTTCTAGTTCAGTTCTAGTTCAGTTCTAGTTCAGTTCTAGTTCAGTTCTAGTTCAGTTCTAGTTCAGTTCTAGTTCAGTTCTAGTTCAGTTCTAGTTCAGTTCTAGTTCAGTTTCTAGTTCAGTTCTAGTTCAGTTCTAGTTCAGTTCTAGTTCAGTTCTAGTTCAGTTCTAGTTCAAGTTCTAGTTCAGTTCTAGTTCAGTTCTAGTTCAGTTCTAGTTCAGTTCTAGTTCAGTTCTAGTTCAGTTCTAGTTCAGTTCTAGTTCAGTTCTAGTTCAGTTCTAGTTCAGTTCTAGTTCAGTTCTAGTTCAGGTTCTAGTTCAGTTCTAGTTCAGTTCTAGTTCAGTCTAGTTCAGTTCTAGTTCAGTTCTAGTTCAGTTCTAGTTCAGTTCTAGTTCACTTTCTCTCTAATTTCTCTCACTTTTTCATAGATATATTTCACAATTCATTAAACATTATTTTGTTTAATATAAATATTAGTTTCAAATCAATATTTAACAAATTATCTTTCACAAAAACTGGACAATACCTAGTAATTAACAGTTGATTTCTTAAAATAAACAATTTATGGCAAATAACTAAGTCTTACAATTTTCTATAAAAACCCATTCTGTAACAATTGAAGCCCACAGTTATTGCTCAGACTCTTTTTAAAAACTATACATCATGAAGAATATATACCTAGCTGTTATTCTCGCCTTGGCCTGGGCTGCTAACTCCTGTTTAGCCAAAAAGTACACTCGTTGCTCTTTTATACGAGAAATGTCTAGTTTGGGAGTACCAAAGGATGATTTAGCACGTTGGGCCTGCATTGCCAGGCATGAATCTTCATTTGATACCACTGTTATAAAGGCGCAAAACAGTCCAAAGGATAGCCAAGATTATGGTGTTTTCCAAATAAATGATAAATATTGGTGTAAACCTTCTAGCGGACACTTCTCCTATAATATGTGTAAAGTCAGTTGCAATGATTTATTAAGTGATGATATAAATGCCTCAATGACTTGTGCCCTGAAAGTGTTGGGACAGCAGGGATGGTCGGCTTGGCCTTCTTTAAGTGAGTGTGAAGGTGATTTGCCTTACATTAAACGTAAATGTTTGAGTTGAAGTGAAACGTATAATTGAAAAGTTAAAAGTTAAACTATGAATGAAATTTTAACAAATAAAATATTCTTAAGAAAATCACGTATGTTTCTTTTTATGAAGTTATAACTAGGTCTTGAGTACTGCTCGTGCAAAAGAAGCCCATTGACTAAAGAACATGTTTCTTCAGTTTCAGACAAATGTTAGTTTAAAAAAAAATATTTAACAATTAATTTGCAATATAATAACAGATATCGGACAATACTTTATAATTAACAGATGTATTTAAACAAACAAACTTAAAACAATAAACAAGTTATAAAATTTTCTATAAAATTAAACTCTAGGGCAATAAACCCCCACAGTTTTCAAAATCTTTTTCTACAAGAAACCCCAACATGAAAATCTTCTTAGCAGTTATTACTGTGCTAGCCTTGATCAGCTCCTCTTCAGCCATAACATATAACCGTTGTTCTTTGGTACGGGCAATGCGTAATATAGGTGTACCTTTCGATCAATTGGCACGTTGGGCTTGCATTGCTGAACGTGAATCGAGTTATCGCACCTTTGTTGTGGGACCCCCCAATTCCGATGGCAGCCGTGATTATGGCATTTTTCAAATAAACGATAGATATTGGTGTCAACCGCCCAGTGGACGCTTCTCCTCAAATGGATGTCGTATCAATTGTAATGCTTTATTAGGTGATGACATTAGACCCTCAATGAATTGTGTCCAACAGATATTAAGGCAGCAGGGTTGGGGCGCCTGGTCCGTTTGGCGTTTTTGTAGTGGCAATTTGCCCAGCGTTAATAATTGTTTTTAGATTTATGGAATCGAACTTATAGTTTTAAGGGAAATAATAAAAAATGGCCGATTCTTGTGTAATCGAGAATTCTTTCAATATTTCAATATTCGATTGGCGACTTTAACTGGAAGTTTTTTAACGAGAATTTATAATAAAATCTTTAGGATCTCTCTACAAACCAACAATCAAACAAAAATCGCAATCTTATCAAAATCAGAACAATTTATTTTAAAAAAACAAAACAATTTACAAAAAAACCGAACACTGCAACGATGCTCTTAAAAACACTCATTAATACTAGGTAAATTACCATTACAATATTTCCAAACACTCCAGGCTTTCCAACCCTGTTCACGCTTAATCTTAGCGGCACACTTAACCGATTCTCTAATGTTGTCGGTTAGCAAAGCATTACAGTTGATATGACAATTATTCTTAGAGGCATGACCACCATTCGGTTGACACCAATAACGATCGTTGATTTGGAAAATCCCATAATCGTGTGAACCATTCGAATTGGCAGGACCAATAATGTCGGTGCGATATTTTGATTCATGTTTGGCGATGCAGGTCCATTGAGCCAATTCCGATTTTTGTATACCTAGAGCATACATTGCCCTGGCCAAGGAGCAGCGCGTAAAAGTCTTGGCCCAAGAGAAATTAGCGCAGGATAGCAGGAGGATTACTATGAAGAAATTATTGAATTTCATGTCTATGAACTTCTTGAGCTGCTATGCAATTGATAACTGAAAACGATTTGAATCATTATATATATAAATATACCTATTATGATCATTATTCATACATTTCTAAAGATACATTTTAATTTACAAGGTCAGTCTTTGGTAAACCACAGAATAGCAAGGGTAAATTACTTTGTTTTAAGACCAAAATAAACTAATTAAGTAATCGTAAAGGCACCAGATATTTGAACGGGTCTCCAAACACACTAGACTATAAACTAGACTATGGACTAGATTATATATTAAGCTATAGATTAGACTAAAGAATTGACTATAGATTGGACTACAGTCCAGACTATAGACTATACTTTCGATCAGATTTTAGTCCAGATTATAGAATAGACTATAGACAATAGGGTAGACTACAGACTTGACTAGAAACTAGACTGTACTATAAATTAGACTAAAGTCAAGATTATAGTTATACTATCCACTAGAGTATGTTTTAACATCAAAATAAATTAAAGTAATCACAAAGGCACCAGATTTTTGAACACAAGAATCTATATCTAAAATTGGTATCTTCACAAACACTAGACTATGGACTAGATTATATATTAAGCTATAGATTAGACTAAAGACTAGACTATCATTTATATTTTAGTCCAGATTATAGACTAGACTATAGATAATAGGGTAGACACCGACTTGACTAGAATATAGACTGTACTATAAATTAGAGAAAAGTCTAGAATATAGTTAGACTATCCACTAGAGTATAAACAACACTTTATACTAGACTAACGAATTGACTATTGACTCGACTATATACTAGACTATAGACTAGACTATATACTAGACTATAGACTAGACATAGACTAGACTATAGACTAGACTATAGACTAGACTATAGACTAGACTATAGACTAGACTATAGACTAGACTATAGACTAGACTATAGACTAGACTATAGACTAGACTATAGACTAGACTATAGACTAGACTATAGACTAGACTATAGACTAGACTATAGACTAGACTATAGACTAGACTATAGACTAGACTATAGACTAGACTATAGACTAGACTATAGACTAGACTATAGACTAGACTATAGACTAGACTATAGACTAGACTATAGACTAGACTATAGACTAGACTATAGACTAGACTATAGACTAGACTATAGACTAGACTATAGACTAGACTATAGCCTAGACTAGACTATAGACTAGACTATAGACTAGACCTTAGACTAGACTATAGACTAGACTATAGACTAGACCTATAGACTAGACTATAGACTAGACTATAGACTAGACTATAGACTAGACTATAGACTAGACTATAGACTAGACTATAGACTAGACTATAGAATAGACTATAGAATAGACTATAGACTAGACTATAGACTAGACTATAGACTAGACTATAGACTAGACTATAGACTAGACTATAGACTAGACTATAGACTAGACTATAGACTAGACTAGACTATATAGTAGACTAGACTATAGACCTAAAACACCCTGATTTTTATAAGTATCTTCAGTTTTTTCAAGATTTTTGTTAAAAAATAAAAAAAAAAGTTGAATCTCCCCGACGGGGAATTGAACCCCGGTCTCCCGCGTGACAGGCGGGGATACTGACCACTATACTATCGAGGATGTTGAGTGAGCTACGGCAAATAGTGTTTAAATACGTAGTCACTGTATTGTGTAGAACTATATATTGTTCTATATTGAAAACCACCCCCTTTTAAAATCGTTTTACAAATTCATGTTAAAGTGTGACAGAGACAAATCTATAAAATGTTTGAAAATGAGAAGGAAAGTGTTGTCTCTTGTTAGATTTGTAATGTAAATGTTGTCTATTGTTAGATTTGTACTATTTGTACATATGTAAGTTTATATTTTAGCGTTTTAAAAAGCACTTTTAAAAAAATCAATAAATTTGCCTCGTCAACGGAGCAAATAACCACGTTAGGTCTTTCGATTGCTACGCATCAAAACGTAAACTACCGTTACTTATAATCTGAAATTTACAAAGCCTACTCTGAAAGTGATTTATGGCGAACTTCAAAATAGCAAAAGTTGTCAGAGTTCCTACAAAAGATCTCAATACTAAAGACCTAATCGCCTAAGATCTTTATACAATATCCAATGCAAAACATTGTAACTGTTTAAACATTTTATTATTATTTTGTAGTAATTAATTAAAATCCCCCTCTAATGTTGAAGGCATTATTCAATCACAATTTAACACAATTAAATACTTTAATTACAATTTCATTATATTTTCTTTAACCATTATTAATGGGTCTATATGAACCATTTATGGTTCATTGCTTCAATTTCGCCTGGTTTTGCCGGTTTCATAATCAATTAAGTTTTATATTCAAAAAACATTTAAATTGTGTGTAAGTAAACTAAACTAAAGAAAAACTAATAAAAATTTACAAAAAAAAAAAAACGACAAATCAACAAAACTTATTTTAGAGGCAAAAGAAATTACACTTTCCTCTAATATATTATAGACTATAGTGTGCCACTAACTTGGCTCTGGAGCAGAGTATGACAACATTAGTTGCTGCACACAACTCACCTACAAACATAGTAGCAGTCTAAGAGGACCAGTTTTTTGTTGCTACAGACAGATTTATTGTGTGACCAGTGGTAAGTAGTAGTGGCAGCGGTTATGCGTAGTACCGATCAGGTCTGTTGCCTGAAAAACTTTGATGTATTGATTCATAAAATTGTGGTTGTGCAAAAAAAAAAAAAAAAAATAAACACAAATATAATAATGTAATGTTGTTGCTGCTGATGATAACGATAATGTTGTTGTTTGACATGTTGCAATATTATTTCGCCAATGCATACACTTAACATGCCTGCCTGGTTTTTTCGCTTTTCTCATTGACAAAATATGTTTTCGTTTTTCTTCATCGTTTCATTTCAATATTATTGTTGACTGTCATTCCACTCATCATCATCCACCAAATGATAAATTTCACTTTTCATTTCGAATTGGTGGTGTCTTATATGAATTTATGTCGAAATATTGTATATTTTCTGTTTGGTTGAAAAAAAAATCAACTCGTGCAACATAAATATTGTTGCAACAACAGCCCCGCCAACAACGACAATTGCTATTTACTCAATATAACAATAATAAGATTGTAATGAGGCGACAATAATAATATAGACCATGCCAGAGATGGAAAACTAAGTACTATAGTCCAGCCTGCAGTCTGGACTACTGACTAGCCTATGGTCTATTCTATGGCCTAGTTTATGGTCTAGTCTATTGTCTAGTATATAGACCAGTCTATTTAGTTTAGTCTATAGTCTAGTTTATATTCTAGTCTATAGTCTGAACTATATCTTAGTCTATAGTCTAGTATATTGTCTAGTCTATAGTCTAGTCTCTAGTCTAGTCTTTAGTCTAGTTTATAGTCTAGGCCTATAGTCTAGTCTATAGTATTTAGTCTAGTCTCTAGTATAGTCTAGTCTAAACTGTAGTCTATAGTCTAGGCCTATAGTCTAGTCTATAGCCTAGTATATAGTATAGTCTATAATCTAGTCTATAGTCTAGTCTATAATCTAATCTATAGTCTAGTCTATAGTCTAGTCTATAATCTAGTCTATAGTCTAGTCTATAGTCTAGTCTATAGTCTAGTCTATAGTCTAGTCTATAGTCTAGTCTCTAGTCTAGTATATAGTCTAGTCTATAGTCTAGTCTATAGTCTAGTCTATAGTCTAGTCTATAGTCTAGTCTATAGTCTAGTCCAACGGTTCCCAAAAGGGGGTCCGCGGACCCCCAGTGGTCCGTAGCAAAATCCTAGGGGGTCCGCGAAGACGAACGAAAAAAATCATGAAAAAAAAATATTATCTATATATTAGAAAATATTAAAAATATCTCCAAATTTTTCATAAATTAATTTAGTTAATTTTAAATATAAATATTCCATTCCGACGTGATACACAGATTTTAACTTCATTTTGTTGTCCAATATTATTAAATCAACATCAGAAAATTCATAGCGTTTTGCGTAAATAGTCAAAACCACGCAGTAAAATAATTCGTAGGTATTTTCAAATTCAAATTTAAGATACAAATTCATAGTACATTCGCAAAGAGTTCAGGTCATATTTTATGTGGATAACGCATTCCGCAGCAACATCGAAGAAGGCTAACTTTCACATATTTTCCTAAAAACTTAGCTTACATACTCAGCTCACTCCTATGCAATCGCAAACAAATTTAGAAACATGACTCTTTAAGCACATGTCGACAATACTTTATAAAGAAACCTTTTCGCTACCTTGACGAGAAATGCACATGAAAGCTCTCACGATCATAAAATTAAACAACATGTTAGAAGTCATTCTATATTTAAAAACCATGCAATTGAAAACATCTCCGAAAATACTAAATATTCTCAATGTACGGGAATATTTTATAGGGTTTATGGACCAGGACTAAGACAATTTTCGGATTGAACAATTATTTATAACAATAAGATATCAAAATATGTATAGGGGTCCGTGAACTTAATAAATTCCTCAAGGGGTCCGCGAAGTAAAAAAGGTGGGAACCGCTGGTCTAGTCTATAGTCTAGTCTATAGTCTAGTCTATAGTCTAGTCTATAGTCTAGTCTATAGTCTAGTCTATAGTCCTAGTCTAGTCTATAGTCCTAGTCTAGTCTATAGTCTAGTCTATAGTCTAGTCCTATAGTCTATTCCTATAGTCTAGTCTAATATCTAGTCTATATTCTAAGTCTATAGTCAAAAAAAAAAAAAAAAAAAAAAAAACTAGTCTATAGTCTTAGTCTATAGTCTAGTCTATAGTCTAGTCTATAGTCTAGTCTATAGTCCTAGTCTATAGTCTAGTCTATAGTCTAGTCTATAGTCTAGTCTATAGTCTTAGTCTAGTTAGTCTAGTCTATAGTCTAGTTCTATAGTCTAGTCTATAGTCTAGTCTATAGTCTAGTCTATAGTCTAGTCTATAGTCTAGTCTATATCTAGTCTATAGTCTAGTCTATAGTCTAGTCTA